TGGCTGCTTCATCATCCAGATCCGGCGGTTGTTGACGGCTCCAACCTTGCGCCAGCATGTATTCAATGGAATTCTGGCGTTCAGCCAAAAATTACGGCACCTCCTACGATTTGATTAATCAGAATCTTTTGACTTTAAGGGAGCAGTGTCCCGATTTCGAAATCCACGGGGCGACACTGCAAAGAATATATAAGCATTAGCCAGAGATTTCTCTACTCAGTCGAGATTTTTAACACGCACACCCATATATATATATATATATATATATATATATATATATATATATATATATATATATATATACAGGAGTCGGACAAAATAATGGAAACACCAAGAAATTTCAAACAAATATATTTTAATAAGGTGTAGGAAAGCCTTTGGCCGTAATTACAGATAGAATTCTAGAAGATATGGACTCACAGAAAGTTTGAATGTTTTCCAGAGCGGTTTTTGTCCATTGTTCTGCCAAAACAATCTCTAATTCTTTCAGTCCTCGTGGTAGAGGATATCGACACCTTACTTGTTTTTCTAAAATGCACCATAAATTCTCAATAGTATTGATCCCTGGGTATAGTGAGTCCAGATAAGATGGTCTACTTCCCTAGAATGTTCTTCGTGTCATTCAGACACAATTTTAGCTGTGTGAATTGGTGCATTATCAACTTGAAAGATTACGTTTACTTCCGGAAAGAGTTCCGCTACCATAGGATGAATTTAATTTGATAACATTTTTAAATAGATTTGACGTTTCATCCTGCCATGAAGGAAAACCATTGGGCCGGCAGATTTCCAAGATATAGACCCCCAGGCCATCACAGAGCTTCCTCCATGTTTAACAGTTGGAAGAAGACATTTTGGATCAAATGTTTCTTTGAGCTGTCTCCAAATATATACTCGACGAGATATCGGAAATAATGTGAGGGATGACCCGTCCGAGAAAATAACATTCTTCCACTGTTCTAGGGACCAGTTCTGTAGGTTTCTAGTCCACACTAAACGCTTTGCAATATTGCTTTGTGAAAGGAGTGGTTTTCTGATTGTAGCCCTCCCACCCCGTGAAATTCAGTTCTCTTACGGTTATTGAGGAAACTAGATTCTCGAGATTCTCATTAAGCTCTGCTGTATTTTTCGGAGTATGTAAGAGTCCGACGGTCCCTATCAGACAGCTTTCGCTTTTCTTCAGAGTTTGACTTCAGTCAGGAGGTTCTTTACTTCTTTCTCAAATGTTGTCATTACTTTCGAAGCAGTACCCCTTGGTACAAAAATAATTCAGCGTTTTTTTTTACACTAACGCCGACTCTACGAGCATCAACAATTTGACTTCTGACAGATCTGCCATTTTAATGATTTTTTCTTAATTTCCTCTGATGATATCTGTGAAAAAAAAGCAACAATGTTAGTAAAATAAGCCAAGAAAAATCAATAATAAATCAAAAAAACATAAAAATAACAAAAGTCTGGTTTATAGATTTTACGTCTTTCCATTATTTTGTTCAACCCATATATATATATATATATATATATATATATATATATATATATATATATATATATATATATATTTGGTTGGCTAGATGCGAGTTTGTGACGTTTTGGGTTTCACGCTTTAGCGATCGTCAGATGTTAGCTCTATCTCTGATATTGAGCGCTTTCTAATAATACCGCGTATATAATATATAAATAATTATACATATATATATATTTATTTATATTTATATACACACACTTTTCATATATGAATCATTCATACAAAAAGGAGATTAGTAAAGTTAATGACATAAAATGGCGAAAACCTTTCGTGCATTTACCTACGAATCACTCGATGAATGTTATGATCCTTGTTTTTAATAATTATAAGCTTTATGAGGCCTTTTTTTAATACACAAGTACTTTCAACTTTATATTCAGTCATCCTCAGGCATGGAAATTATTTTGTTTTTAGTAAAATCCAGGTAGTATCCGAGACGAAAAGATTAAATGCGAATCGACATATGTTTTTTTTCATAGAAAATATGCGTCCTCCGACAGGAATCGAACCTGCATCCTATACGGAACTGTCATATAGTGCTTTTACCGTTTGAGCCAGCAAGGTCGATTTTACTGTTTTTAAACTACATTTCTCCATGATTTTCTCTCATACAATCATATCTGCTCGATGCGTATCCAAATGGAAACAAATGACGTCACACATTATGAAATCGACAAAGATAAAAAGAATGTATAAACATAAAAAATGTCTTTAAAATAATTACAGAAGTAATAGAATTTTGGGAGATTTGAATGATTTCACATAATAAATGACCGGTTATAGAACAAGAATCCTCAACAGAATTCAGAACGCACTGGACGGCTGTTTTGTTCTTTTTTAGGGTACATCTCCAGTGCGCATACACCACTGGGAATCGAACCCGGGCTGTTAGAATATAAGGCAAGCGTCATACCACTGGGCCACCGAAGAGGAAACAAATTTAACTCAATATAGCGCAGCTACTCGTATTGGAGCATTTCTGGTGGCTTATGTATACTTGGGCGAGGATCACCACCGGAATTAGGAGTAGCTACGCTATACTGAGTCTAGTTAATTCCTTCTTCATCACCGAAGCTCGCTGGCCCAGTGGTATGACGCTTGTGTTGTATCGTAACGGTTCGAAGAAGAAATTGAATGAGGCGGATCAATCCGGTGAAGACTATAATAGATTCCCTATCCTTTTTAAGATTGCACAATCCTTTGAATTATCTATCGGGCGTAAACAGAAAGAAATTGAGACGTTATCCACGCCTCCAAGGTTTGATCGTTCAAAGAAAATTTCAACGTTAGGTACCCTAAAAATAGCAATGTACGTATTATTTTAAACTTAATCAAGTCAAATTCATAGCCAGACGGTTTTGAAAAACGTTGAAACGGACGTGCATATTTCAAAAGCTCATTAAACCTTCCCGTGTGTGAAGATAAACTACATCCGGTAGCAAGGCCGCTAATCGTGAGGTTTTGAGGAGCGAAGAACCATCTATTAATTTCTGTTGTCCCCGGGTCCACTCTGACCCTGGGTGGTACAATCTGTTAGTGTCTCACCCATGGGCCCATAGTTAAGCGGGGTCAAAATACTATGAAAGTATAAACATAAATTTTATAGCAAAATATCAGAAATATATATATATATATATATATATATATATATATATATATATATGTAAGCAAATATATGGATATAGATCCAACAGTATGAAGAAAAATATATACGGAAAAAAACAAACAAAAATCCTTATATACAATTATGATAATGTTATAATTTATGAATATGTCCTGAAGATGGTTTATTAGACCGAAACGTCCGACGTTGACATATTAACATTAAAACAGTATAATTGTATATAAGGATTTTTCTTTGTTTTTTTCCGTATATATTTTTCTTCATATATATATATATATATATATATATATATATATATATATTAACATGAACACATTTGATCTCCACAAAAAACCACTCATCGCTATCCCACAGACGTGCCGTGGCGTCCCTCTGTCTCTGTCTATGTAACCGTCTCTTCTACTCAAACGGCTTCTTCTCCCGCACTTCCCGTCTGTGGAACTCCCTTCCTCTTACTTGCTTCCCCGATAACTATAATCTTCAAATATTTAAGTGTAATGTCAATCGATATCCTTTGATACCTTGATCTTGTTCCTCGTCCTTCTCTGTGTCCTTTCCTCAAACACGCCTCTTTACTCTTGTTCTCAATCCTCTGTAACACCGTGCGTGCTAGTGGCACTCCCGCCTTACCTTAAAAAAATACGTCAACAAAACCTGATCTAGAAACTGATTTCTTACAAAGAATATATATTCCCTTCATACGAACCTGTCCTAAAAAATCGTTTTGGAATTAGATAATCCCATTGAAATTGATATGCCGTAAAACAAAATAAACCAAACCAAAAATACGTCAATGAAACTTGATCTGCTAGCTGATTTCTTTCAAAGAATACATGTTCTATTCATACGAACCTATCCTAAAAATCGTTTCGGCATTAAATATCCCATTGCGGTTGATAAGCTGTAAAACACAATAAACCAATTCTTAAAACATATAGTCGGCAAGGCTTCACAGAAAGGTTGAATGAAAAGTGTTGTATAGGAGTAAAGTGTCCCTGCCGACATTTTAGTTTGAACACAGATCGCCAGTGAGCAAACACGGCCGATTCCATTATTTAATTAAGTAGATCACGTGATAATAAATGAAACGAATATATAGGATATAGCGTGACGTCTAAGCTACTTTATACTCTATTGCTATACGGATCGGGATTCTCTATACTGATCATTATACGAAGTACTATTCGGTGATTATTATTTGAACTAGTATTATTAGTGCTAGAATCATTTAAAGGAGTTACTACTACTAGTATCTGCGTTACATAGTCTCGACTACCAAGAGCATTTTCGGAAGTTACAACGTGTGTGCGGTCTAACATCACAAAAAAAAAAGGAAAAAGAAGAAAAGTCACCATTGAGGAAAGCTTCCTTAGCATTTGCTAAAATGTTTCGGTATCAGTCAGTTGAAGATGACTGGCGTTACGTGAGACAGAAAGAAAAATGAACTTTTAGAAACATGGCAAGCAAAGATGTTTGTGGAAGAAGAAAAATAGAAAATGATTGAAGATGAAATAGCGGACGATAAAAAAAAATGTTATGGTAAACATGGTTTTATGGTGGCTATACAAGAGTAAACATGACATCAGTGAAGTCATCTGAGAGGGAATTCAATTAGCTAACATATCAGAGCATTTTTTCAAAATAATCTAAGCTTGAAAGACAATTAATCTAACAAGAAAAATGGGCCGATATATTTCTAAAAAACAATTCATAATTTCTATCTCAATTTCTGGGATGAGAAGTTATTATTTACACAATTTAGTCGGACTATTTTTCTCATTTTTGGTGCAGTTATCACAACGATTTAGTTAATATGTCCTCCGTACTTCCATGTGTGCATATATTGGCTTATGGCCATATAACGTTGAAACACCGGTTCCCGTACGGTCACCGAAGTTAAAAAAACGTTGAGCCTGGTCAGTTACCTAGATGGGTGACCGCTTGGGAATACCAGGTACTCTAAGGTTTACGGCCATATCACGTTGAAACACCAGTTCCCGTAGGATCACCGAAGTTAAGAAACGTTGAGCCTGGTCAGTTACCTAGATGGGTGACCGCTTGGGAATACCAGGTACTCTAAGGTTTACGGCCATATCACGTTGAAACACCGGTTCCCGTACGATCACCGAAGTTAAGAAACGTCCAGCCTGGTCAGTTACTAGGTGCGTGACCGCTTGGTAATACCAGGTTTACGGCCATATCACGTTGAAACACCGGTTCCCGTACGATCACCGAAGTTAAGAAACGTTGAGCCTGGTCAGTTACCTAGATGGGTGACCGCTTGGAAATACCAGGTACTCTAAGGTTTACGGCCATATCACGTTGAAACACCGGTTCCAGTACGATCACCGAAGTTAAGAAATGTCCAGCCTGGTAAGTTACCTAGATGGGTGACCGCTTGGGAATACCAGGTACTCTAGGGTTTACGGCCATATCACGTTGAAACACCGGTTCCCGTACGATCACCGAAGTTAAGAAACGTTGAGCCTGGTAAGTTACCTAGATGGGTGACCGCTTGGGAATACCAGGTACTCTAAGGATTACGGCCATATCACGTTGAAACACCGGTTCCCGTACGATCACCGAAGTTAAGAAACGTTGAGCCTGGTAAGTTACCTAGATGGGTGACCGCTTGGGAATACCAGGCACTCTAAGTTTACGGCCATATCACGTTGAAACACCGGTTCCCGTACGATCACCGAAGTTAAGAAATGTCCAGCCTGGTCAGGACCTAGATGGCTGACCGCTTGGGAATACCAGGTACTCATAGTATTACGGCCATATCACGTTGAAACACCGGTTCCCGTACGATCACCGAAGTTAAGAAATGTCCAGCCTGGTCAGGACCTAGGTGGGTGACCGCTTGGGAATACCAGGTACTCTAAGGATTACGGCCATATCACGTTGAAACACCGGTTCCCGTACGATCACCGAAGTTAAGAAACGTTGAGCCTGGTCAGTTACCTAGATGGGTGACCGCTTGGAAATACCAGGTTCTCTAGGGTTTACGGCCATATCACGTTGAAACACCGGTTCCCGTACGATCACCGAAGTTAAGAAATGTCCAGCCTGGTAAGTTACCTAGATGGGTGACCTCTTGGGAATAACAGGCACTCTAAGGTTTACGGCCATATCACGTTAAAAACACCGGTTCCCGTACGATCACCGAAGTTAAGAAACATCAAGCCTATATATATTGACCTGGGTAACCTGCTGAAAATTCTAAACTTATTTAATGTACGAGTTTAGACCGTTCTCGTTCTACTGCCCGTACCCAGAATCCCCTGTAGCCTATCCAGATCAATATACGCCTGAGGGAGGCCGTAGGTTATAAGGGCAAAAACGTTGCCATAACAACAAAAGTAGGGATAATAATACGAATATAAACAGTGTAAACAATATGTAATTGTCCCATTAGAAGAATGCTAATGTTAATAGAGTCATTTCCTTACGTGGAAGGCGTGAGGATGGTGTAACGAAAAGAGGTTCGGAACAAGAAATTGGTAGGCCAACTTCGTCTTCCAGTCTATTTTCGTCAAATTCAATTTCGTGCTAATACTCTTGGGAAATGTATGAACCCCCAACAGTGGATTAAATAGTATTGTAAACTGGCTTCTTCAGCCACAGGTAGCAACCAATCTAGAAGGACAACTCTGAATTCAAGACTGCCCCATACGGTCTTGAGTTCGGCTATAAAACGTCGAAACACCGGTTCCCCGCCGATCACGGAAGTTAAGCAACATCGAGCCTGGTCAGTACCTAGATGGCTCATCGTTTGTGAATACCAAAAACTGTAAGCTTGGATGTCCGGGTGGTGTAATGGATATGGGCTCGGAATTCTTCATCGAAGAGCCGAGTTCCGATACGATCACCGAAGTTAAGCCACATCCACCCAGGTCAGTAGTTAGATGGGTGACCGCTTGGGAATACCAGGTGCGGTAAGCTTGGATGTGTGGGTGGTGTAATGGATAATGACTCAGAATTGTTAATCGGAGAAGCGAGATCATATTCCAGTTGTGTTCGTTATATTTACTTACGCGCAAATACCCTCCCGGAAAGGCATGAATCCAACCCCATTTCGTCGCAGCTAGTGGTTAATGAGTAAAAATCGTATCACTAAACCTTTATTATCTAAAAAAGAATCTTTACAATCTAAAATTATTTTCTGGCTTTAAATAACCTGCAAAGGGTTGATAAACCATAGAAAGTTGATCAATTAATCAAAACAGTATCTAACCTTGGCGAAGCACATTCTATAAAGCCATTGGAAGGATAGTGAACTTTTCAAGGACTGTATGATTCCTACTGCAGTGAGTTGTGTGGAAACATTTGGTATGCATTAACCGGGCAGCCAGTGCTACTCTAGTTATGTTTTTTCTTCACTTCCTGTCTATATGGTCTGGGATCAAAATGTTGTATCCGTTTGTCGAATCTGTATTTGCAATGCTAATATAAGCACAGCAGCTCTGATTGAGGAATCGGAGAGCCGAGTTCGAATTCCAGTCGAATCCATTGCACTCAGTCACGTGCTAATACCTTGGGAAATCATCATCTTCTGCCCAGCCCAGCTATCGATAAACAGCAGAACAGTTCTATAGCCTTGGATGGCAGCTGGTCTACCACAGATAGAAATGACAACCTACTGCCGGAAACAAAATCTGCCTTGTCAGTTATGTATCGAATATAAGACGTATACCGATGACGAAACAACCGACATTCACTGCCAGACTAACCAATACTAGTTTTGGTTGAAATTTATGAAATCTTTCTCGTAAAGTAATTCTTCAGGGAAATATGCTTTCTAAGCCTGTTAAATGTTGCTTCACTTTCTAGTATTTTAGGGGAGATCTTTTCTAATCAGGTTTTCGATGTAATGTCGAAAGTAAAGATATTGATAATTGTCATGAGTGCTTACCTATAACTACAGAATGAACTCTTCCTAACACTATGTATACTACGCCTCTCAAGAGAGAAGGTCGATTCAAGCCGAGCTTCTCGACTTGACGGTCGAACTCTCTGCCTCTGAGCAGAGAGGAACCCAGACGAGGCTCCTCCGAAGGGCAGAGTCTCGTTCGAGGAGGTTTACCAACCCGATCCCGTTTAGACGGGTTCTACGGGCATTTTTTGGCCGAGCCTACTGGCTCGGGAAACCCATGTTAAACTCAGCCTTGTGCCATATGCAACCCTCGTGGGTGGGAGGCTAGATACCGAATCAAGCCGAGCTTCTCAGCTTGACGGTCGAACTATCTGCCTCTGAGCAGAGAGGAACCTGGACGAGGCTCCGCCGAAGGACAGAGCCTCGTTCGGAGAGGTTGACAAACCCGATTATGTTTTTACAGCTTCTACGGGCATTTTTTGGCCGAGCCTACGGGCTCGGGAAACCCTTTCCCTCGTGGGAGGGCAAGTAAATAAAGAATCGAGTCGAGCCGATAGTAGTTCACTCCAAACCAGACTGACAGTCATACTAACACCTTCCACATCTGGTAGTATTATTTCATGTAATATACCTTCGTTATTTCTACTCTTGTGTTCGTGTTGTTCTTCCTTGGTCCTAACCTGGACCATAACAATTATGCCATTATTGTCTCTTCCATTGTGGCACCATTTACCAGGGCAAAAAAGAAAAGAAAGGAAAAAGAGAAAGGAAAGAAAGGAAAAGAGAGGCGAGACCCAATCGTGGATGATAGAAAAAACACCAACGACCAGAGACAATTGATAATGTTATTTTGATAAATAGCAAATGGCAAAAAAGATGTCATTACAGTGGCAGAAAAATTCTAGGTGGATGGGGGAATCGACTGTGTTCTGTCGACGAACTTGTGTTATCGGGGGATAGATAAGAGCAGCTCAACGCGGAAAACATCTAATTAGCAAACCACAGACCGACTAGCCAAGAAAAACTCCAATTGAAAATGTTATTTTGATAATTGATAAAGAACAGGTGAAATACAGGGCTTTGGATAGATACGAAAAATTAACTGTGTCGTCTGCTGAGCCGCACACGAAGTAACGGTTGACCGTTTTTTTTTGACAAAGACATCTTTGGCTGTGATAACAAAACTATGTTATCAGAAAGGTGCACCAAAGAATGACTAGAACCATGGAACTGTTTTTTTTTTAGGGTACGGACGACGGTATTGTGTTGAGAAGACCACCCATTCTGATAATTAGCGATAATCTGACTGACGAAGTCCAGATGAGAACAAGGGTTATGACCACCACCGGTCGCATTGTTCTATTGGCGGCCAGAGAAAATGAGAACTGCGATTAAAAGAAAGAAAAGGAAAAGAAAAAGATTTTTTTTTTTTAAGCAAGATATATTTTTTCCCTGAAACAAAGCCCGTGGGATCGCACACGCCCGGCTGGACATCATTGGCCGAGTGGTGATCACGTGACGCAAGGAGGAAGCTGCCACCGCCCACTAGAGGATGGGTATGAGAGGTTGCTACGAGGAAGTGGGGAGGACAGTTCACGCTATCTGAAGTATGGTGAGAATGTGGGAGTAAGAGAAGACTCCCAAAAATGGAAAGAAGTGGAAAATTCCTAACCAAAAAAAAAAAGAAGGGGATAGGTATTTAGAATTATCGAGGAACTCCCCGGCGCCGACAAACCCACCCCGGTTTTGGTCGGCGTCCATATAAGCAAAGTCGCAGCGAGCAGAAATGAGTTAAGTTCGGACTCCGGTTTCCCAGAGTCAGTCTCCAGTGCTCAGTTGAAGCAGGCCTCGCATCAGCTGACTAAGATTCGCGCAATTTCCGGACTCATCTTCAATCCAAGAGCAACTTGTTTTGAAGAGCGACTTAGATCCATACCACCAAAATAAGTTTTTCGACTTTCGCCTGAAGACACTCCAAGAACCAAATTCTTAAAGAGCAGACAACTTGAAGTGTTAAAACTCGCCTAACGGAAAACAACGTGTCACAATCCATAGAACGGGTCGGGAGAGAGACGCAGTCCTATGTATGCAGCAACTAGACATAAAGTATTGTTATCCTTTTTTTTGATACCTTGAACTTTTGAGTTATCATTTTATTTTCTTTTATACGTATTTTGTGCAATACCACCCCCGCTTGGACCCAACTTGCATTACGGCCCTGACGACTGATTGATTTCGTCTGCCTAAGATCAATTCACAACGTGGGTAGGCAGACTAGAGATCAACGCAGTTACTTTAGTAACCAGGCGTTGGAAGCGAGTTGGGAACGACGAGGCTGATATCGAATCTAACCAGATTCCCATCCGAATCACCAAAAGGTTTGAACGTCGCAGTTGACCGCCGCGACCAGGACCAAGCCAGTTGGTCGTCACAGGACGAGACAACACGACTGACACGACAGGCAGACGTCACGTTTGGAGCGGCGACACCCGAACGAAGCAGCGAGGAGCGAGCGAAGGCTGTGTTTAGGGACGTCACACAGTTACATATTAAAATGTTATCCATTTTAGTAATTACTGCTGTTGAAATTACTCAAGGGACGTGGTTTATGTTATCTGGTGCAGTTGTTTCTGATTCTGCAGCGCCAGTCAATGAGGCTCAAAAAGATAATCAAAAAGAGATGGTTCTCTCTAAAGACAAGAGGATTCCTAAAATTATGGAAATGCATTCAAAAGATGTCCCAAAAGAAATTTTCTCAACACGTTTTCTGACTGCTCGTAAAACAATTTCCTGAAATTTAAATTTCTGTAATTCCTTCATTTTGACATCTTTACTTCGTAGCTTGTATTCTCTTGCTAAGAATCCAGCATTCTGCCATCTTGCCATTAATAATTAAGTCTCTCTTTCCTTCATAACTTGTCTACGAGGTTCAATAGATTTCTTTCTCCTTCTTCTATCAAGACATCTTCATATCTTATATACTAATTTTCTAATATACAGGGTGCGACAGAAATAGCTCCGACATTTTAAGATTGGCAGTTCAGACCGACAAAGAGAGAGAGGGTGGGGAACAGCGCATAACCTAAATAGCGAGCTTCAGTAATCCGTAGGCCTGGTAGTTCAGACCGAAAGAGAGAGAGAGAGAGGGTGGGAACAGCGCATAACCTACATAGCGAGCTTCAGTAATCCGTAGGCCTGGTAGTTCAGACCGAAAAAGAGAGAGAGGGGGGGGGAAAACAGCGCATAACCTACATAGCGAGCTTTAGTAATCCGTAGGCCTGGTAGTTCAGACCGACAAAGAGAGAGAGAGAGGGTGGGGAACAGCGCATAACCTAAATAGCGAGCTTCAGTAATCCGTAGGCCTGGTAGTTCAGACCGAAAGAGAGAGAGAGAGAGGGTGGGAACAGCGCATAACCTACATAGCGAGCTTCAGTAATCCGTAGGCCTGGTAGTTCAGACCGAAAAAGAGAGAGAGAGGGGGGGAACAGCGCATAACCTACATAGCGAGCTTCAGTAATTCGTAGGCCTGGTAGTTCAGACCGAAAAAGAGAGAGAGGGGGGGAACAGCGCAAAACCTACATAGCGAGCTTTAGTAATCCGTAGGCCTGGTAGTTCAGACCGACAAAGAGAGAGAGAGAGGGTGGGGAACAGCGCATAACCTACATAGCGAGCTTCAGTAATCCGTAGGCCTGGTAGTTCAGACCGACAAAGAGAGAGAGAGAAAGGTGGGAAAAGTGCATAACCTACATAGCGAGCTTCAGTAATCCGTAGGCCTGGTAGTTCAGACCGACAAAGAGAGAGAGAGGGGGGAACAACGCATAACCTACATAGCGAGCTTCAGTAATCCGTAGGCCTGGTAGTTCAGATCGACAAAGGGAGAGAGGAGGGGGAACAGCGCATAGCCTACATAGCGAGCTTCAGTAATCCGTAGGCCTGGTAGTTCAGACCGAAAAACAGAGAGAGCGGAGGAGGAACAACGCATAACCTACATAGCGAGCTTCAGTAATCCGTAGGCCTGGTAGTTCAGACCGAAAAGAGAAAGAGCGGAGGGGGAACAACGCATAACCTACCTAGCGAGCTTCAGTAATCCGTAGGCCTGGTAGTTCAGACCGACAAAGAGAGAGAGCGGAGCGGGAACAACGCATAACCTACATAGCGAGCTTCAGTAATCCGTAGGCCTGGTAGTTCAGATCGACAGAGAGAGAGAGGCGGGGAACAACGCATAACCTACCTAGCGAGCTTCAGTAATCCGTAGGCCTGGTAGTTCAGATCGACAAAGGGAGAGAGGAGGGGGGAACAGCGCATAGCCTACATAGCGAGCTTCAGTAATCCGTAGGCCTGGTAGTTCAGACCGAAAAAGAGAGAGAGCGGAGGGGGAACAACGCATAACCTACCTAGCGAGCTTCAGTAATCCGTAGGCCTGGTAGTTCAAACCGACAAGGAGAGAGAGATGGAGGGAACAACGCATAACCTACCTAGCGAGCTTCAGTAATCCTTAGGCCTGGTAGTTCAGACCGACAAAGAGAGAGAGAGAAAGGTGGGAAAAGTGCATAACCTACATAGCGAGCTTAAGTAATCCGTAGGCCTGGTAGTTCAGACCGAAAAAGAGAGAGAGCGGAGGGGGAACAACGCATAACCTACCTAGCGAGCTTCAGTAATCCGTAAGCCTGGTAGTTCAGACCGACAAAGAGAGAGAGCGGAGGGGAACAACGCATAACCTACATAGCGAACTTCAGTAATCCGTAGGCCTGGTAGTTCAGATCCACGAAGGGAGAGAGCGGAGGGGAAACAACGCATAACCTACATAGCGAGCCATAGTAATCAGTAGGCCTGGTAGTTCAAACCGACAAAGAGAGAGAGGGAGGGAACAGCGCATAACCTACATAGCGAGCTTCAGTAATCCGTAGGCCTGGTAGTTCAGACCGAAAAAGAGAGAGAGAAATGTGGCCTGGTAAAACCGACAAGACCTAACCTATAGCGAGCTTCAGTAATCCGTAGGCCTGGTAGTTCAGACCGAAAAAGAGAGAGAGAGGAAGGGGGGAAAACGCATAACCTACCTAGCGAGCTTCAGTAATCCGTAAGCCTGGTAGTTCAGACCGAAAAGAGAGAGAGCGGAGGGGGAACAACGCATAACATACGAGCTTCAGTAATCCGTAAGCCTGGTAGTTCAGGACCGACAAAGAGAGAGAGCATAGCGAACTTCAGTAATCCGTAAGCCTGGTAGTTCAGATCCACGAAGGGGAGAGAGCGGGGGGAACAACGCATAACCTACATAGCGAGCTTCAGTAATCCGTAGGCCTGGTAGTTCAGACCGAAAAGAGAGAGAGAGGAGGGGGAACAACGCATAACCTACCTACCGAGCTTCAGTAATCCGTAGGCCTGGTAGTTCAGACCGACAAAGAGAGAGAGCGGAGGGGGAACAACGCATAACCTACATAGCGAGCTTCAGTAATCCGTAGGCCTGGTAGTTCAGATCGACAAAGAGAGAGAGAGAAATGGGGGAAAACGCATAACCTACCTAGCGAGCTTCAGTAATCCGTAGGCCTGGTAGTTCAGACCGACAAAGAGAGAGAGAGGGTGGGGAACAGCGCATAACCTACATAGCGAGCTTCAGTAATCCGTATGCCTGGTAGTTCAGACCGACAAAGAGAGAGAGGAAAGGTGGGAAAAGTGCATAACCTACATAGCGAGCTTCAGTAATCCGTAGGCCTGGTAGTTCAGACCGAAAAAGAGAGAGAGGAGGGGAACAACGCATAACCTACATAGCGAGCTTCAGTAATCCGTAAGCCTGGTAGTTCAGACCGAAAAAGAGAGAGAGCGGAGGGGAACAACGCATAACCTACCAAGCGAACTTCAGTAATCCGTAGGCCTGGTAGTTCAGACCCACGAAGGAGAGAGGGTGGGGAACAGCGCATAACCTACATAGCGAGCTTCAGTAATCCGTAGGCCTGGTAGTTCAAACCGACAAGGAGAGAGAGAGGGGGGGAACAACGCATAACCTACCTAGCGAGCTTCAGTAATCCGTAGGCCTGGTAGTTCAGACTGACAAAGAGAGAGAGAGGGTGGGGAACAGCGCATAACCTACATAGCGAGCTTCAGTAATCCGTAGGCCTGGTAGTTCAGACCGACAAAGAGAGAGAGAGAAATGTGGGAAAAGTGCATGACCTACATAGCGAGCTTCAGTAATCCGTAGGCCTGGTAGTTCAGACCGAAAAAGAGAGAGAGCGGAGGGGGAACAACGCATAACCTACCTAGCGAGCTTCAGTAATCCGTAAGCCTGGTAGTTCAGACCGACAAAGAGAGAGAGCGGAGGGGGAACAACGCATAAGCTACATAGCGAACTTCAGTAATCCGTAAGCCTGGTAGTTCAGATCCACGAAGGGAGAGAGTGGGGGGAACAGCGCATAACCTACATAGCGAGCTTCAGTAATCCGTAGGCCTGGTAGTTCAGACCGAAAAAGAGAGAGAGCGGAGGGGGAACAACGCATAACCTACCTAGCGAGCTTCAGTAATCCGTATGCCTGGTAGTTCAGACCGACAAAGAGAGAGCGGAGGGGACAACGCATAACCTACATAGCGAGCTTCAGTAATCCGTAGGCCTGGTAGTTCAGATCGACAGAGAGAGAGAGAGGGTGGGGGAACAACGCATAACCTACCTAGCGAGCTTCAGTAATCCGTAGGCCTGGTAGTTCAGACCGACAAAGAGAGAGAGAGGGTGGGGAACAGCGCATAACCTACATAGCGAGCTTCAGTAATCCGTAGGCCTGGTAGTTCAGACCGACAAAGAGAGAGAGAGAAAGGTGGGAAAAGTGCATAACCTACATAGCGAGCTTCAGTAATCCGTAGGCCTGGTAGTTCAGACCGAAAAAGAGAGAGAGCGGAGGGGGAACAACGCATAACCTACCTAGCGAGCTTCAGTAATCCGTAAGCCTGGTAGTTCAGACCGACAAAGAGAGAGAGCGGAGGGGGAACAACGCATAACCTACATAGCGAACTTCAGTAATCCGTAGGCCTGGTAGTTCAGATCCACGAAGGGAGAGAGTGGTGGGGAACAGCGCATAACCTACATAGCGAGCTTCAGTAATCCGTAGGCCTGGTAGTTCAGACCGACAAAGAGAGAGAGCGGAGGGGGAACAACGCATAACCTACATAGCGAGCTTCAGTAATCCGTAGGCCTGGTAGTTCAGATCGACAGAGAGAGAGAGGGGGGGAACAACGCATAACCTACCTAGCGAACTTCAGTAATCCGTAGGCCTGGTAGTTCAGATCGACAAAGGGAGAGAGAAGGGGGGAACAGCGCATAGCCTACATAGCGAGCTTCAGTAATCCGTAGGCCTGGTAGTTCAGACCGAAAAAGAGAGAGAGCGGAGGGGGGAACAGCGCATAACTTACATAGCGAGCTTCAGTAATCCGTAGGCCTGGTAGTTCAAACCGACAAGGAGAGAGGGAGGGAACAACGCATAACCTACCTAGCGAGCTTCAGTAATCCGTAGGCCTGGTAGTTCAGATCGACAAAGGGAGAGAGGAGAGGGGAACAGCGCATAGCCTACATAGCGAGCTTCAGTAATCCGTAGGCCGGGTAGTTCAGACCGACAAAGAGAGAGAGAGCGTAGGGGGAACAACGTATAACCTACATAGCGAGCTTCAGTAATCCGTAGGCCTGGTAGTTCAGACCGACAAAAGAGAGAGCGTAGGGGGAACAACGCATAACCTACATAGCGAGCTTCAGTAATCCGTAGGCCTGGTAGTTCAGACCGAAAAAGTGAGAGAGCGGAGGGGGAACAACGCATAATCTACCTAGCGAGCTTCAGTAATCCGTAGGCCTGGTTGTTCGGACCGAAAAAGAGAGAGAGCGGAGTGGGAACAACGCATAACCTACCTAGCGAGCTTCAGTAATCCGTAGGCCTGGTAGTTTAGACCGACAAAGAGAGAGAGCGGAGCGGGAACAACGCATAACCTACATAGCGAGCTTCAGTAATCCGTAGGCCTGGTAGTTCAGACCGACAAAGAGAGAGAGAGGGGGGGAACAACGCATAACCTACATAGCGCACTTCAGTAATCCGTAGGCCTGGTAGTTCAGCCCGAAAAAGAGAGAGAGCGGAGGGGGAACAACGCATAACCTACATAGCGAGCTTCAGTAATCCGTAGGCCTGGTAGTTCAGACCGACAAAGGGAGAGAGGAGGGGGGAACAGCGCATAGCCTACATAGCTAGCTTCAGTAATCCGTAGGCCTGGTAGTTCAGACCGAAAAAGAGAGAGAGCGGAGGGGGAACAACGCATAACCTACCTAGCGAGCTTCAGTAATCCGTAGGCCTGGTAGTTCAGACCAAAAGAGAGAGAGAGAGAGGTGGGAACAGCGGATAACCTACATAGCGAGATTCAGTAATCCGTATGCTTGGTAGTTCAGACCGAAAGAGAGAGGGAGAGAGAGGGGGGGAACAGCACATAACTTACATAGCGAGCTTGTGTAATCTGTAGACCTGGCAGTTCAGACTGAAAGCAAGAGGGACACATGAAAACAACGCATAACATACAAAGCGAACTTGAGTTAATGAATGGCGGAAGAAAATTTAGAAGGTATGAAAAAAGATAAAATATATTAAGAGCTATAAAGAACAGGAAATTGTGGAGAGATATAATCGTAAATGCCCTGGAGGTACACGCCACAATGACAAACATGCGTGATCTCAATGGTCCACATCAGTCTCACTCTTTGAATTAATTAGATAAACGCCAACAAATTAAAATCCGAATGATTAAATTAATCACCTAAAAATAGAAAGTTACTCGAGGAATCGCATGCTTTTGTGTACACGACTACATATATCGCTAATCAATCATCAAGGACTTAAAGCTGCCCGTTTTCATTGCAGTCCTTCCCATAATACCTTCGCTATAATACAACTTCCGTTCGGACAACAGGCGACTCATTCTATATACTCCCTTCTACTGACAACCGCATTCGAAGGTGAAGAAATTGGCTGACTCCCAAATATAATTAACGGATCCAAACCACGACAAATCGATTTGCGCTGGGGTCGGAGTGGCTACGGTTTTTCGTTTTCGTCAATGGCGACGTGAAGTCGAAAGGCGATGGACAATTTCCCTGCTGGGTATCCCATTTCTGAAGCTGCTGAGAAACAGTCAAATTTTCATCTTCGTCTCTGCTCGGATCCAATAAATACATACATACATACATACATACATACATATATATATATATATATATATATATATATATATATATATATATATATATATTTATATATGTATGTATGTATGTAAAAATGAACATAAAGTCAACACTTACAAGCGACAGTCTGTTTCATGCTAGATGCAATCGTCAGGCCTGACGATTACATCTAGCATAAAACAGCCTGTCGCCTC